TCGTCGGTTGTCATGGCACAAGGCATCATCTGCATCGGGTTGCCAAGACTCCACTCCTCGTCCACTTGACCGAGGACAGACAGAGCTGGCCTGTCCGAAGGTCGTCTCCCGTCGGCCCCCTCCCCTTCCGCTCGTGACAACTGCGTGTATCGTCCAATTGAGGTTGGCCTGAGCTGTCCGCGCCGGAGCTTCTGGGGGGGGCGAATGTGCCCAGTCGTGCCGTGGTTGGACCGAGCGGGAGTGAGACCGCCCAACGGAATCGCACAATTGTAGACCCCTCCCCGCCTAACCCAACTCCGACTTTCAGACACCAGAGGCATTTCGGATTTGTTGATGCTTTACACATGCAAACACATACAAACACACACACACACACATGCATATTTGTATATTTCTATAAATGAAAGTACATTCTTTCTTCAAAGTTGTCTCGTAGCACGAGGTTGAATCGAATTTGCGTTTTTAGGGAAAGTTGGTTGGAAAGAATGCGTGAATTAGTTGCACTGGAAACCGAGGTGTGATAGCCCCAGAGTCAAGTGAATGACCGGATGAACCGGTCATGTGACAGACGTCGTCATAGCGCCAAAATCTTCTCTTCGAAAAACCGCATTATTCTACTTAACCAAGGACTTGTTCACACAATCCAACATTCTGCCTTTAATAGGCATGTAAAAATGGGTTTTTAAGAGATTTGAACTTATTTTCCATCCACACTTCTGAGTTTCATGTACCAGTCATGAAGTCTATGATAATAAGGAGTCTGCATCTGGCAGATGTTGAGCCTCGGGACGAGGAATTAAAAAGACTGGTTGGAAACTGTTATCTACGAGAACTGAATGATAATTATTTTAGAATATTGTCAAATAGGATGGAGAGAAATGCATATATGAGGCTCTCTGTTGGCGTCTTATAATCTGTAGAAGAAGATGGGCGAATTACTGAGCATTATGGACAACATGACTACGAATAAAGAGAATATAACACTTTCCTCAGTAGCACCTTCTTTTCGAGCATATTCCGACCTTCTCTCCAGATCGGGCTGATACTAGATTTTGTCTACATTCGATAGCGCCTGTGTGGAAGAGACGAGTTGACTCCTACAAAAGAGGTTATCGGAACACAAAACAACCTGCAAGGGAGTGTAGGTCCGAACCTCGGAATTGGCCGGACACATGCCTCGCACAGGACACCAGATAGGCTGGTCTAATGCCGAACGTTTCGCTGGACATGGAGACTGTACCAACCAGTAAGTGGACGATTAGGGAAGCTGGAGAAGACGGACGAAACAGCAAATACACCAAATAGAAAGAGGCATTGTAGAAGGTGAAGTGGAAACTACTTGTGGCTGTTGGATGGGATTAGAAGGAGAAGAGGAGAGAGAGAGAGAGAGAGGAAAGAAAGAACAAAAAGTAGCGCCGAGCGAGATAAGGAAGCTGACTAGCCTCAAATCTGATTTTTTTTTCTTTTATACCCCGCCAGTGTCTCACGAGCATTGCATACACACAAACATGTGCAATGGAAGAAAGGAAGAAAGAAAGGAAAGAAAGGAAAGGAATAAAAGAAGAAAGGAAGAAAGAAAGCAAGGAAAGAAGAAAGCGAGAAGAGATGAAAGGTAGAATAAAGAAGGGAAGAAAGGAAAAAAGGAAGAAAG